ACACATACAACAACGTCGGTACACATCACATCCGGCAACACATACAACAACGTCGGTACACATCACATCCGGCAACACATACAACAACGTCGGTGCACACACATCGCATCATCCGGCAACACACATCACACATCACATCCGGCAACACATCGGTACACATCACACAACAACGTCAACAATCACATCCGGCAACACATACAACAACGTCGGTACACATCACATCCGGCAACACATACAACAACGTCGGTACACATCACATCCGGCAACACATACAACAACGTCGGTACACATCACATCCGGCAACACATACAACAACGTCGGTACACACATCACATCCGGCAACACATACAACAACGTCGGTACACATCACATCCGGCAACACATACAACAACGTCGGTACACATCACATCCGGCAACACATACAACAACGTCGGTACACATCACATCCGGCAACACATACAACAACGTCGGTACACATCACATCCGGCAACACATACAACAACGTCGGTACACATCACATCCGGCAACACATACAACAACGTCGGTACACATCACATCCGGCAACACATACAACATCACATCCGGCAACACATCCGTCCGGCACATCACATACAACAACGTCGGTACAACAACGCACATCATCGTCGGCAACACATACAACACGGTACGCACGTGTTACATGCAAGGGATGCTGTGGACGATTCATGGCCGTCAACTTCATTGTGTTAATGCGTGGCGGCACAGAGGCTATCAAGTAAGCGAGAAACCATATACCGTACTGAGTCCCGTTTTACAACCCGATCTCAGGGTGACGACTTCCGGAAGTCATTGTTAAGTGCTACGATCCCTTTGTGAGTTACGCATGTAACGAACAGAACTAGTAGCCAGTACAATGTGGTCAAGTCATCAACAACACAATTAATCACATAAATATTCTGTATATGGACACAATAAGCCTTGGTATCACAATCAGATAAATATGCACATGAGGTCACATAGCATGAACAACTGTCCACGCAACTGATGCCGACTTTCTACAAACTGTTATCGGTATACGAAGGGGTTTCAGACGAAAATGGTACCTAAACGTACAGTTTATCGGGACGTCCTCTAGAGGTTCCACCAACCTGATTCCTACCCCACCTGGGGTCCCGCATGATGTTGATGACGGGCTGAAGCAGCTGAGTCCCTTGTGGTCGCCGTAGACGTTGTTCTTGGCGTAGTCGTTGTATTTACCGCGGACCTCCACCCCCGTAGCCTCGGCCATTCGAAACAGAATGTCAGTGCTGGGTCAAGGACACGAGTGAGTTGACACAGCTATGACACATTTACTTAGGTCATGAATACCAGCAATAGGTAGCTTAGCGGTTAAAGCGTTCAGTCGCCACGTTGGAGTCAATGTTCGAACCCTCGTATGAGATTAATGTGTGGTGCGATAGTACTGGCTTAAATAGCGACTCTCTCTCTACAAGATAGGAGGATGTGCCAATGTGGCCATGGTCATGGACGTTCACGAATTCTTTGGTAGTGAGAGACCTGGGTATGAACAGTATTCCAGTTCTATCACGGCGTCTCAGCCTATTGTGGGAAGAAAGCATGAAGTGACCAAGTTCTATGGGAAAACTAAAAAACTCGAGTTAGATTCGAAAGACCTGAAATTAAAACTAGAGCGAGGTCACGAGAAAGTTATAGTCCAGAATGGATACAAATGTCCGATATCGCAAAATGAATCCACACTCAACCACACACACACACATATAGATCACCTTACCTCCAAGAAGCCGCAAGACCTATAGACTGGGGGAAGGATGTTGCCGACCCGCTCCTCGCGTCCCCCCTCAGACACTCCGTGTTCCAGGAGTAAGGATTTATCCCCAGTTTGGGAATACCTGGGGCAGGGCTACCCCGAGGCCCCCCACCTCCTCGTCCCAACTGGATCTGTATTTCATCGACAGTCAGACGCCCGACGAGGTCCTCCACCCGCTCCTGCCAAGTGAGCGATGTGTTCCGGAAGGGGAAGTCAGCCCCGACCAGCCCCGTCAACAGGGACAACAGCAGAAGAAGGGACATTATGATGGGTACACGTCCCCACAGACCAAACAGCAGTGTCGTGAGTGACCTTCTGACTTCACTGATAAGCAACGTCGCATCTTATCTGCTTGTGAATGTTTGTAAACGAGAACTGAGTTAGGAAAATATCGAGCCTGAAGCAGACAAAACAGTGATTGATATTATCAGCAACTAGCCTCGAGTTCGGGGTACGATGCAACACAGTGGACCATATCACCATGACTTCCTGATCCATTCAGCCGCTTCTTACAACCAGCGTCCTCTGTGTTGGCAGGGTCGTGAAATCGCACGATTCCTGAAAGAAATTCTGATTAAGAGACTGATAAGGTACTCACACTCACACGCTCTCTCTCTCTCTCTCTCTTCTCTCTCTCTCTCTCTCTCTCTCTCTCTCTCTCTGTCTCTCTCTCACCATCGGAGTTGAGAGAGAGAGAGAGAGAGAGAGAGAGAGAGAGAGAGAAAGAGAGAGAGAGAGAGAAACACACACACACGTGCACGTTGCTGAGTAGGTGAACTAATATTAAAATATGACGTCACACCCCATTACACCTAGTCCACCATAACATAATGTAACCATCCCGTATACAGTCATACAAGCAGAATAGTAACCTCTTGTGTCAATAATAGGAATTTGTGTTTGGATAGCTGGACATGACTTGTTGAAAATGCAAAATGATACTGTCATTAGCATTCCAATATTACACAGCAAAGTGGTTAAGTAGAAAGATGTAATAGTGGCACCTTGGCTTTCTACCAGACAAAGTGTACTGACCTTTACCCTTCCCTTTATCTGTCACCTACTCAGGAAACTCCCCAAAGCAGCACGTCACTGTTATGGTGTGGCTGTTTACAAGGAACATAGTGGCGTGACTGTAAGACCATCGGACATCCATAGAGGGCACGCTTCAGGTTCACTTGTCTTCCTGGCCATCTAACGTTTACTGTTATACATGACTGACAGGTGTTTGTCTGACATTAAGGTCAGGGTCACACAGTAGCTATGAATAAGACATGGTCGATGGTTTGTTCGGTCACTTTGTTACAAAAGTGAGGAAAGGACGAATTTGGAAAAAGAATACACGATGTGGTATGCAGCTTTGTTCAAATCCGTACAATGGTTCAAACATTTCTGGACCAAATCTGATGTTTCCGAACATATCATCAGGGAGTAAGACCACACCCACATGTGGGAAGCCAACGGAAGCTAAAGGCTGTCCTGGACATCAGATGATGATCAACCATCAGCCGTGAAAAGGGAGCATACCTGCCAACTTGGTCACTTGGATCTACTCCTGGCTTATACTTCACCGTTACTTTCACAGGCCCTCGTGTCTTTACGAGGATTAATAATAAAAAATATTGTGTTTGAGATGACTCGAAATGCTTCACACTACAATACATTATGACAAGGCCGGACACTTCGGTGCACCCCACCCGCCTGCTTTGCCGATCGCTACGCTACTATCGCATGCAATTGATTGAAACTCAATGTAAACATAATCATGGATGATTGGCCTATCGAGTCACCACACATGACACCTACAAATTCGTTATTGTTATTTCTGCAAGTCGATTAAACCCCGATTTTGACTCTCAACTAAACGATCTTGACACAAATGGATGACGATATATCCGTTCAAAACGGGTTGTGGTCGAAACAAGCGCTCTGATTGGTCAACGCTTGTAAGTCTGCACATTCTTTATAAATTCGTGGGAATTTTACTTTCATCGATTGCTTGGCTGAGGACATGTTAGATTTTTTCCAGAAATGGCTTCTCAAAAGAAAGCATCATTTGTAAATGTTTCCTTAACAAACATCAACCAACCAGAGGGTTTGCTTAATCCCTACTACTGAATAAAGTCAGTAGGGACTGCACTGGACGTACTTTATGTCAACAATGCGAAGTGTAATCTACATGAGTTTTTCTAGTACTTCCACTGGTTCTGACTGTTGTAAACGTGGTTCAAAATATTTACGAGTCGTATGGCTCTTCGTGGACAGAACGTTCTTGATTTTAACTCAAAAGTTATGAAATGTAGACAGTAAAGACGCTGCTCCCAGTATACATGGAAGGTGGACTATAGTTGAAGTCACTCCCCTAGTCACACAGTCAAGTGAATAGTCTTAAGTCATCGCTTAAGAAAAGAACCACACATGAAACAGATCACTGGTCTCTTCTGTTTCTAAATCAGGCCGATATATCAGAAGAAGGGGATTAGCTATTTAACAAAGATTTCATGTACAATTGGTTTTGACAATTCCAGCTAATATTCTGATTCGGATGCATAAAACCAGTCCAGCAAAGAGGGGAGCACCGATGGCGCTCACTCATGCGGATTGACTCGTGCTAGAAAGCCACATTGCCAAATGTGCAGCATTTCTCATATTGTTTCTGTCAAAATATTCATATGACAATCTCATTTTCAGGATGCTCCAGGTTAGAGATTTAGCCAAAAGTTGAGTTTTGTAGATTTCTTCCTCAGTCAGCATACATTTTCTCACAACAGGCTGCTTGGTGTATAGTGAGAGAGTTTAGTTTTGCGCCGCACTCGGCAATATTCTGCTATATGGCGGCGGTCTGTAAATAATCGAGTCTGGACCAGACAATCCAGTGATCAACAGCATGAGCATCGATCTGCGCAATTGGGAACCGATGACATGTGTCAACCAAGTCAGCGAAACTGACCACCCGATCCCGTCAGTCGCCTCTTACGACAAGCATAGGTTCTTGAAGATCAATATTCTAACCTGGATCTTCACGGATCTCTTGGTGTATAGCAACATCGATCGACAACATATACTCATTTTTGTTTTATACTCATTCTTGTTTTATACTCATTCTTGCTTCCAACTTCTCTCTATTGGAAAAGTAACAATGTGACTATTCAGGTAACATATTGACTATGGTCATATACAAAATATCCAGTAATCATATTCCAGTAAGTCTTTATTATTTCGCTTGGTTAGACATTAAAGCATGTATTAACTCATCATGATGGCCGATATATTTAACACGGTCTCTAGTGTTCAGTACACTCCTAGTGTCTTTGTTCCAGTGATAGTCAGCTCTCCACTGAGGGTGTTGGACCCGACGGACGTCTTCTGGTTGGGCTGCTGGCCACCCAGGTACACTCGCACTTTCCCTGGAACATTCACACAAACTTAATAGAGCAGACAGGTGCAGCAAATATGTTTTGTGGCAATAAACAACTCAATCATTTGAGGTCATGTTTTAGGCCTTAGTTCGCTTTATTTCAACACAATGAGAGGCCGGGTGAGGTGAGGATAGGTTTAACCTGACGTTCAAGACTGTTTTATTCACACAGGGGCAGGTATGCACTGAGATACTATATCAACACGAAGACACAGTATTCTGACCCTGAGTCGGTAATCTTTGTTTCAGACGCTCTTCCCTCTAGAACACGTACGTTGTGGTACAATGACAACAGTCAACCAATTTTGATGAGGAGCAGCACTCATATATTGATTGAATTTTCGTTCGAAAGGTGACAGCGGATATCACTGCATGCGGAAATCCCGAGCATCAAGCTGTGTTCGTGGCGCTTCACTCACCCGGTTGTACAGCCCAGCCGGTTGTGTCGTCTGCCCATACAGCCAAGTTCTCGTGAGATATCGTCATGTTCACGTTCACTTGACCTTTAGCTGGGACAGACGTTCTGAGGAATCCGACCAGCTGCAACCTTGGGACAGTGACTGTGGGACTCTCCCAGCTGATGTACAGCTGCACGACCTGCAATAAAGACAACAGATGCTGTGTTGGTTGGTTGGCTGTTGTTTAACGCCGCACTCCGCAATATTCCAGCTATGTGGGGGCGGTCTGAAAATAATCGAGTCTGGACCAGACAATCGACCAGGCATTGATCAACAGCATGAGCATCTGTCTACGTAATTGGGATACGATGACATGAGTCAACCTGCTGTGTAAAGAAGTAGCTAGGCGTTGTCACTGTAATACCTAGAGAGGACGAGCATGTAACTGCTGTTTCAGATCATACTGGACTGAACAAATCAGAATTTCCTTGTGAATCTTAATGCCACATATGCAGACTTCATAGATAAAACCAAAGGATTAAAGTTCAGCTGTATGTCAGGGATATTCTGACTGAAAATGATGCATTGCTGAAGTTGGCTCACCTCGTCCGCATCAAGTCCGCCGGTGTTGGTCACGCGGGCTTGTACCGACACGTCGTCGCCGGCTTGGATGGTGTTGCTACCGAGCTGAAAGTTGCTGTACTGGAAGGTGGTGTAGGAGAGGCCGTAGCCGAAGGGGTAGAGAGGGTCGACGTCGGAGTAGCGGTAGGTGCGGTTTGTCATGGAGTAGTCAGTCATTGACGGGAACTGGGACAGACAGATACAACACACAGTATTTCAGCGTGCTTGATCACAACTGTATTCCGCAAAGATTGAGCGCAAGAACTAATATTACTTCATGTATTTGTCATACTACTGCCCTTCATACCTTCATGAACTCACGACTAAAACAAATCTTAAGCCCAGAGTGTGGTTGGCCCACTGCTCCCTGAGATTTTCATTTATTTCACTCATTACAGTTATGTTTTCTTCCCTGAACAAATAGTTTATTCTTCTACATTAACTATCGGCAGGTCAAGGTAGAAATGTACTTTCTTTGGTGTATTTTGCAGGTTTAAGTGATGAAATTGATAAAGATATGAGTCCGCTATTTTATAATACAGTATCAATCAAATATAAAACATTCTGTGAACTAAATATATTGATCTGAAGGAAAATAATCATGTTCACTTCATTTCTTGTAATTGTCAGTTAAAAGACGTTCCACCCATATTGTGACTGCATAGAGTAATGCATCTACATTGTCTGGAACTCTGCCATCACATGACACTAAATCATCTAATAAAATCAAAGTTTACATTCAAAACGAGTGAAAAGAATATAAAGAAAATACTATTAAACTCAAAAACCAAAAATAGTCCGGGACAATGGTGACCTATGCGTGCCAACAGGATGTACTCATTCGTGTTGCTTCTGGTGAATGTTGCAAAGGTGGACAAAACGCCGTGTGTGGTGACGGTGTCGTGACTCACTCCGTTGGTGTTCCGGTACCAGGTATAGGGTAGACGGCCGGCTGGGACAGAGAACGGCCCGTCGTTGGTGAGGGTCTTGAGAAGTGCCGTACCCGTGGCTTGTGCCGGGTAGAACAGCGCCATTATGGCCGAGATGCGGGGGTCAGCTTCTTGCTGGACGATGTTGACCGGGCCGGCATTAAACATCAGCAACACCACGGGAACGTCGTTCTTGGCTGAACAGATGACAGGGAATAAATACTTATACATGTTTTGCTTTTGTCACGTTACGTGTGTCACCTGTAGGATGTGTCAAGTACCAGCTCTGCCCGATCCGCGCACAAACGCTACCTGTTTCATCCCAAGGTGAGCACAAGGGAGCGTCAACTCTTGTACCCAGTAAACAATACCACAATGTGATGATATGACATTTAAAAAAATCACAATTTGAACATAAGCAGTTGCAGATATGCCAGCTACGCTAGTAATTCTACTGATTGTAGAGTACAGCAACAAGTATTGTGTGTGTGGTCAGGGCAAGAATGGACTTCAGGTTACACCCCTTAGCTGCCTAGAAGTGTGAGAGTGAGATACGGACTCCCTCCAGTGTGGACGGCTCTACTTCCTGGCCGACCTCACACAACTACACCCATGTGGTGAAGTGATCGTGTACTTCAGTATTGAATACACAGCATGTCAGCAAATTACAGATCTCATTTACAGAATCCCAGGAGGTGGTCAGTAATGGACTTCTTCTGAGACTTGTGACGTGTGTGTGACGTGTGTCATCAGCACAAGGTCACGTGTGACACCAGACTGTCGTTGAAGCTGTCCTACACGTGCTGTCTCTATCCGCCAGTCGGCCTATACTTACTGTTACTTAAGACGTCTTGAAGAAGGGTCACCTGTCCACTCGGCATGTCCAGATTAGGACGATCACGGAACTCATCCTCCATCTTTTGACCTGTCGACAAACATGAAATAACTGTATCTGACCAACTTTCCGAATGTCAGATCCATTAACAACACTACAAGTACAAACATGAAATAGCTGACAACTCACTTACACTGGCAATCACACAGTCTCTCTCGCCATTATGTCTCTGGCCAACTTTCCAAACGTCGTTATCATGTACAAAGTTCTGATTCTGTCGTTCTGCAAATAGCACCAGGAACAAGGTATCGGGTACCTCTCCTCCCCTCCCCTTTCTCTCCCACATCTATCTGCACTTCCAGTGTGATATAGAAGCCACAAAACCCTTTCTACAGCCATAAAAAATCTCTGCTAAATGCAGAGTCATGAGTACATATTTGTGTCAGCAGTATATAAGATGTATGGTGTTGTTTGTAAACAACCCAGTGGTTGTTACCATGCGATACGATGACAGAGCATGTGTATATGACCCACTATGAAATAGTGATGATACCAGGTATTTGCGAAATGGTGAGCGTATCCGGCTCCACCGGTGGCACCCGTCATAAACATTTGTTAAGCCTAGTCAGTTGTTCACCTGAAATAATTCGGTAACGTACGGTAACAGTCGAAATAGGGAATTGCATCGAACATAATTTTGTCTCTGATGCATCAAATTTGGAAATGCCCTCACCATGTCTAACCTAAAAGTCTTTGAATGCCGTAACCTTGATCAAACAACCTCTGAGCAAGTGTGATATGACGCTCTTTGAAATCTTGGTAGAATGAGCATGTCGATTGTACCTCAAAAGTTGTGAAGTGTAAACACGATTGGCTGGAACTGTTGGAATATTGCTCGACATGAAAGGGAAGTCGACTATTGGAAGAAAGGGAAGTCGACTATTAGAAAGTTGAAATCATCCTTTTTGTCATGCAGCCTTGTGGAAAATCTTTTTGTTTTGTCACTCTGAATATTTATTGACAGATCTAAATATGAAACTGTTGAGGCGGTCTCACTTGTCTCCTTAATTTTACGTTGGTAAATCAGTGGAAGGGTGTTGGCTATTTAATGGTTATTAAACGATGTTAGATCATCGATATACCTGAAGCTTAAGTTAAACTTCTTGGCAAAAACAACCTTGTTTTCATTTTGCCAAACCAAGCAGAAATTCTGATCCATATACATATAGAAACAGATCCGCACAATTGGTGCCCATGGGGATGCTTACCCCACGTTGATGATCGCCTAGAGTGTTCTTCACTTTCGTTTGAGTCTAAATACAAGAACTATGGAACTTTATATCTACTTAATGTGGTATTGGGTAGTTTTTGCGGGGAAAAGTGGTATTGTAATGACTCCGAAACACAATTTTGTCGCAAGTGCCAAACCTATCTACCCTCCCCAAACCCACTCCCTCACTCACCCACCAACCCACCCCCGCATCTCTCACCTAGACCAAGACACACAAAGACAATCTCTGCGCCCTGCACAGCTGACTTGACCATGTTGGCTTGGTATGTACGACATACGGAGTCCGTGCACCCCTCAGCTGACTTCACCGTGGGAGCCACGCCCTTCAGTCCATCCAGGACCGTGGAGATGTACCTGTCCTCGGTGTTGGGGGCGTAGCTCCCAAACACGCCACGTCCTTGGTAGGTGAACGGCCCTACAACCTGGGGGTTGAAAACAGCACGTGTAGTCATTTCTGTATTTATGTATCCAAATTAGATTTTCCTGATTTTTATTTCTGAAATGTATGATATACTCGTCTCGATTCCTATCTCTTAGAGAGAGTGACAGGGGCCACAGTGAAGTGGGTAGAATTGCGCCCCATCTGTTAGGTCGGGATCGAATACTCCCCCCCCTTACAGCTGAGTGGGTCAGTCACTTACAGCTGAGTGGGACAATCACTTACAGCTGAGTGGGACATTCACTTACAGCTGAGTGGGTCAGTCACTTACAGCTGAGTACAGTCACTTGCAGCTGAGTGGGACAGTCACTTACAGCTGAGTGGGAGCTGAGTGGGGGACACTCACTTACAGCTGTCACTTACAGCTGAGTGGGTCAGTCACTTACAGCTGAGTGGGTCAGTCACTTACAGCTGAGTGGGTCAGTCACTTACAGCTGAGTGGGACACAGTCAGTGGGTCTACAGCTGAGTGGGTCAGTCACCTACAGCTGAGTGGGTCAGTCACTTACAGCTGCCTGTTTGTACTGGTTGGGCTTGATGGGGAGGAAGTTGTTTTGGTTCTTGAGGAGAACGAATGTCTTCATGGCTGCCTCCACTGCAAGATCCTGGTGGGCCTGAGTCTCCACCACGGAGGAGTCCAGATTGTTGTATGGGTTCATACTTTGGGGGTCGAGTGGGACAGTCACTTACAGCTGAGTGGGTCAGTCACTTACAGCTGAATGGGTCAGTCACAGCTGAGTGGGTCAGTCACTTACAGCTGAGTGGGTCAGTCACTTACAGCTGAGTGGGACAGTCACTTACAGTTGAGTGGGTCAGTCATCTACAGCTGAGTGGGACACTCACTTACAGCTGAGTGATTCAGTCACCCACAGCTGGGTGGGTCACTCACTTACAGCTGAGTGGGTCAGTCATCTACAGCTGAGTGGGTCACTCACTTACAGCTGAGTGGGTCAGTCACCTACAGCTGAATGGGTCAGTCACAGCTGAGTGGGTCAGTCACTTACAGCTGAGTGGGTCAGTCACTTACAGCTGTGTGGATCAAGACTGTGACAAATTAAAACAAGATAAATATGAACTTTTAGATAGATTTCGCCTGTCTGGGGATTTTTCTTACCTTCAAGAGTTTCATAAAGTTCGAAACAAATTCAGAGAGCTTTGTCGTCACAAGAAGGAGGAATATACAATAGCAATAACCAACTCTATATTATCAGATGTTTCTTCTGGTAAAAGGGTCAAATCCTTTTGGTCTCATGTGAGACATTTTAGCAGCGCTTCATGTAAATCTGTAGCAACAATTGACTGTTTGTCATGGGTTGAATATTTTATAGATGTATTAAATATTGAAGATATTCATATTGATGAAGATTTTTTAGCATTTACAAAGGATTTCATTGTAAATCATGATGTGCAAGAATCTGTCTGTGGAATCTGTAATAATGATGATATAAATAATATTGTGAATAGGGACATAAGTATTGAAGAGGTGGAGTTTGCTCTTGGTAGTTTACGACCTAATAAAAGTCCTGGTCCAGATGGTATTCCACCTGAGATGTTTAAAGTTAACAAAATTGTTTTGCAGTCATATTTATGTAGTTTGTTTAATGGCGTTTTTAGGTCAGGTAAATTTCCAGATCAGTGGTCACTTAGTATTATATTTCCATTGCATAAAAAAGGAAGCATTCGTGAAGTAAATAATTATCGTGGTATCTCTCTTATGGATATTTGTGGCAAAGTTTTTACTCCCATTTTGAACAGCCGTTTGAAAGAGGTTGTTGACGTGTTAGATCTGTACCTTGAGTGTCAAGGTGGCTTCCGTAAGGGCTATTCTACGGTCGATAACATTTTTACACTCCAAAGTGTTATACAGAAATATTTGTCAAAAACAGGAGGTAGATTTTATTGTTTATTTGTTGATTTTCGTAAGGCGTTTGATTCAGTTAATAGAGATCTTCTTTGGTTTGTTCTGTTATCTAATAGTGTCCATGGTTCTATGTTCAATATCATTAGAGATAGTATTCAAAGACAAAGGCTAGTGTTAGCTAAGCGCAACAATTTAAATGTTTTCGGAATATTTTGATTCCTTGGAGTGGGGTTCGGCAAGGTTGTATTTTAAGTCCTCTTCTATTTGCGTTGTTTGTTAACCAGTTGTATACGGAAATAATTACTTGTGGTGACAGGGCGTATGTATTGATCCAGAGTTTATGGAATTGTATATGCTACTGTATGCAGATGATTTATGTTTGTTTGCAGATTCTGCCATTAGTCTTCAGAGGAAGATCAATGTATTACTACAGTTTTGCAAAAATGGGGCTTGTCTGTAAATTTTGAGAAAACAGAGGTGCTAGTGTTTAGAAATGGTGGTAAATTAAGGCGGTATGAATCATGGTACTTTGATGATCATAAGCTAAACGTTTCTACATATTATAATTATTTGGGTTTATTGTTTTCAAATAGACTTTCATGGTCTAAATCGGTTCAAAATCTGGTAAATAAAGCGAATAACGCCTTGTGCTCAGTTAAGGTTTTCGGTAGGAGACTTAAAAATATTTCTCCAATTATTTTGTTCAAAATCTTTGACGTTCAGATAAAGCCGATAATTTTGTACGCTTCGGAAATATGGGGTTTTCGGAAATGGCATGTTATTGAACAGTTTCACATCAGATTTTGTAAGTATGTGTTGGGCGTAAGTTATACATGCTCTAACGCTGCTGTATTGGCGGAATGTGGTAGAAATTATATTTATGTTGATAGTTTATTACGTGTTATGAAGTATTGGTTCAAACTTTTACGCTTACCAAAGGATAGAAACCCAAAGCAGTGCTATATTATGTTGCACAATTTAGACAAAGTTGGTAGAAAAAAAAATGGGTATATTTTGTCCGAAATATTTTGTTCAATTATGGTTTTGGTTTTGTGTGGGAAGCTCAAGGAGTTGGAAACGAGGAACAATTTTTGAAAGATTTTCATGTAAGAGTTTGTGATTGTCAGAAGCAATTCATATTTTCAGAAATGCACAAATGTTCATCGCTTGATGTCTATTCCAGTATCAAAAGTGTATTTTGCATTGAGCCATATTTAACTTTATTGAAATCTAAAGATGCGAGGCGTCGAATAACAATGTTACGAATCGGTGCACTTCCAATATATAAAAATACCGGCAGATTTGATGGAGTTCCGAGGCACCAAAGACTATATAATATTTGTAATGATAATTTTGTAGAAAATGAATTTCATTTCCTATTTGAATGTAAAGTTTATCATGATTTGCGCTCTAAGTATTTTAAAGCATTACCAAATTACATAGATCAGCAATACCTTCTAAACACATTGTCCTGTACCAAGTTTTCAACACTAACAAATTGTTCTTACATTAAGGAAGCATTGTCATTGCGTTCTTTATACACATAAACCTGATTGTCAAATGCCACTATCTTATAATTACACATGCTTGTTTGTATTGTACGTGGGCCTAAGGCCTTGTTACGAAATAAACTTGATTGATTGAGTGTGGATCAGACACTTACAGCTGCCTGTTTGTACTGGTTGGCCTTGATTGGGAGGAAGTTGTTTTGGTTCTTGAGGAGAACGAATGTCTTCATGGCTGCCTCTACTGCAAGATCCTGGTGGGCCTGAGTCTCCACCACGGAGGAGTCCAGATTGCTGTACGGGTTCATACTTGGGGGGTCGAACTCACCCAGCCTCATCCGGGCATAGAACAGCTCCTTGGCCCGTGTTCTGACAACGTCCTCCTTCAGCTTACCCTGCTTCACGGCGTCCACTGGGGAGGAAAACAGAACAGCCTTACACTTGAACATTTCCAGGAATTCCCAGCAGTACACTTCACATACTACACTACACATACTACTCTTGGCATCCTACACTACACATACTACTCTTGGCATCCTACACTACACATACTACTCTTGGCATCCTACACTACACATACTACTCTTGGCATCCTACACTACACATACTACTCTTCACACATGACACACTTCTCACCCTTCACATCCTACACTTCACATCGTACACTACATATACTACACTTAGCATCATACACTACACATTCTACTCTTGACATCCTATACTCCACCTTCTACACTACACTTCACATCCTACACTCCACATCCTACACTCCACATCCTACACTACACATCCTACACTGCACATCCTTCACTACACGTCACATCCTACACTACACATCCTACACTATACATCCTACACTTCATATATTACACTACACATACTACTCTTGGCATCCTACACTACACATACTACTCTTCACACATGACACACTTCTCACCCTTCACATCCTACACTTCACATCGTACACTACACATCCTATATTCCACACCCTACACTTTACATCCTACACTACCCATACTACTCTTGACATCCTATATGTCACATCCTACGCTACACTACACATCCTACACTACACATCCTACACTTCACTCCACATCCTACACTACACATCCTACACTTCACATCCTACACTCCACATCCTACACTACACATCCTACACTACACATCCTACTCATACTACACTTCACATCCTATACTACACTCAACATCTTACACTACACATCCTACTCTTAACATCCTACACTACACATCCTACACTACACATCCTAATCATACTACACTTCATTTCCTATATTACACATCCTACACTACACTACACATCCTACACTACACTCAACATCTTACACTACACATCCTATACTACACATTCTACACTACACTTCACATCCTACACTACACTTCACATCCTACACTACACATCCTACTCTTGACATCCTATACTCCACATCCTATACTCCACATCCTACTCTACACATCCTACTCTTGACATCCTACACTCCCCATCCTATGCTCAACATCCTACACTACAGATCCTATAGTACACATCCTACTTTACACATCCTACACTACACATCCTATATTACACATCCTACACTACACATCCTATACTACACATCCTAGATTACACTTCTCACATCCTACACAAACACATCCTACTCTTTGACATCCTATACTCCACATCCTACACTACACATCCTACTCTTGACATCCTATACTCCACATCCTACACTTCACTTCATACCCTACACTACACATCCTACACTTCACATCCTACACTAAACATACTACTCTTGACATCCTATACTCCACATCCTACACTACACTTCATATCCTACACTACAGATCCTAATCTTGACATCCTACTCTTTGACATCCTATATTCCATATCCTAAACTACACTTCTTAGATCCTACACATATAGATCCTACACTACACATCCTACTTTGACATCCTACACTAAACATCCTACCCTCCACATCCTAGACTACACTTCACATCCTACACTACACATGCTACTCTTGACATCCTATACTCCATATCCTACACTACACTTCACATCCTACACTACAGATCCTACACTACACATCCTACACTACACATCCTACACTACACATCCTACACTTCACATACTACACTACACATCCTACACTACACATCCTACACTACACATCCTACACTGAACGTCACATCCTACACTACACATCCTACACTACACATCCTACACTTCACATACTACACTACACATCCTACACTAAACATCCTACACTACACACATACTGCACTCCACATCCTACACTTCACATACTACACTACACATCCTACACTACACATCCTACACTACACGTCACATCCTACACTACACATCCTACACTACACATACTGCACTCCACATCCTACACTTCACATACTACACTACGCATCCTACACTACACTTCACATCCTACACTACACATCCTACACTCAACACTTCACATCCTACACTAAACTCAACATCTTACACTACACATCCTACTCTTTGACATCCTACACTACACATCCTACTCATACTACACTTCACATCCTATACTACACATCCTACACTACACTACACATCCTACACTACACTCAACATCTTACACTACACATCCTACACTACACTACACATCCTACACTACACTCAACATCTTACACTACACATCCTACACTACACTACACATCCTACACTACACTCCACATCCTACACTACACATCCTACTCTTGGACATCCTATACTCCACATCCTACACTTCACTTCTATATCCTACACTACAGATCCTAATCTTGGACATCCTACTCTTGACATCTTATACTCCATATCCTAAACTACACTTCAGATCCTACACTACAGATCCTACACTACACATCCTACTCTTGACATCCTACACTAAACATCCTACCCTCCACATCCTACACTACACTTCACATCCTACACTACACATGCTACTCTTGACATCCTATACTCCATATCCTACACTACACTTCACATCCTACACTACAGATCCTACACTACACATCCTACACTACACATCCTACACTTCACATCCTACACTTCACATAATACGCTACACATCCTACACTACACATCCTACACTACACATCCTACACTGAACGTCACATCCTACACTACACATCCTACACTACACATCCTACACTTCACATAATACACTACACATCCTACACTACACATCCTACACTACACATACTGCACTCCACATCCTACACTTCACATACTACACTACACATCCTACACTACACATCCTACACTACACTGTGTCACATCCTACACTACACATCCTACACTACACATACTGCACTCCAGATCCTACACTTCACATACTACACTCATGCATCCTACACTACACTTCACATCCTACACTACACATCCTACACTACACTTCACATCCTACACTAAACTCAACATCTTACACTACACATCCTACTTCTTGGACATCCTACACTACACATCCTACTCATACTACACTTCACATCCTATACTACACATCCTACACTACACTACACATCCTACACTACACTCAACATCTTACACTACACATCCTACACTACACTCACACATCCTACACTACACTCAACATCTTACACTACACATCCTACACTACACTACACATCCTACACTACACTCAACATCCTACACTACACATCCTACTCTTTTGACATCCTATACTTACATCCTACACTTCACTTCTATACCCTACACTACACATCCTACACTTCACATCCTACACTAAACATACTACTCTTTTGGACATCCTATACTCCACATCCTACACTACACTTCTTATCCTACACTACAGATCCTAATCTTTGACATCCTACTTTTGACATCCTATATTCCATATCCTAAACTACACTTTCAGATCCTACACTACAGATCCTACACTACACATCCTACTCTTTTGGACATCCTACACTAAACATCCTACCCTCCACATCCTACACTACACTTCACATCCTACACTACACATGCTACTTTTGGACATCCTATACGCTATATCCTACACTACACTTCACATCCTACACTACAGATCCTACACTACACATCCTATCCTACACTACACATCCTACACTTCACATCCTACACTTCACATAATACGCTAACACATCCTACACTACACATCCTACACTACACATCCTACACTGAACGTCACATCCTACACTACACATCCTACACTACACATCTTACACTTCACATAATACACTACACATCCTACACTACACATCCTACACTACACATACTGCACTCCACATCCTACACACTTCACATACTACACTACACATCCTACACTACACATCCTACACTACACACGTCACATCCTACACTACACATCCTACACTACACATACTGCACTCCAGATCCTACACTTCACATACTACACTACATGCATCCTACACTACACTTCACATCCTACACTACACATCCTACACTACACTTCACATCCTACACTAAACTCTCAACATCTTACACTACACATCCTACTCTTTGACATCCTACACTACACATCCTACTCATACTACACTTCACATCCTATACTACACATCCTACACTACACTACACATCCTACACTACACTCAACATCTTACACTACACATCCTACACTACACTACACATCCTACACTACACTCAACATCCTACACTACACATCCTACTCTTGACATCCTATACTCCACATCCTACACTTCACTTCATACTCCTACACTACACATCCTACACTTCACATCCTACACTCAAACATATACTACTTTTGACATCCTATACCCACATCCTACACTACACTTCTTATCCTACACTACAGATCCTAATCTTGACATCCTACTCTTTGGACATCCTATATTCCATATCCTAAACTACACTTCAGATCCTACACTACAGATCCTACACTACACATCCTACTCTTTGACATCCTACACTCAAACATCCTACCCTCCACATCCTACACTACACTTCACATCCTACACTACACATGCTACTCTTTGACATCCTATACGCTATATCCTACACTACACTTCACATCCTACACTACAGATCCTACACTACACATCCTACACTACACATCCTACACTTCACATCCTACACTTCACATAATACGCTACACATCCTACACACTACACATCCTACACTACACATCCTACACTGAACGTCACATCCTACACTACACATCCTACACTACACATCTTACACTTCACATAATACACTACACATCCTACACTACACATCCTACACTACACATACTGCACTCACACATCCTACACTTCACATACTACACTACACATCCTACACTACACATCCTACACTACACGTCACATCCTACACTACACATCCTACACTACACATACTGCACTCCACATCCTACACTTCACATACTACACTACGCATCCTACACTACACTTCACATCCTACACTACACATCCTACACTACACTTCACATCCTACACTAAACTCAACATCTTACACTACACATCCTACTCTTGACATCCTACACTACACATCCTACTCATACTACACTTCACATCCTATACTACACATCCTACACTACACTACACATCCTACACTACACTCAACATCTTACACTACACATCCTACACTACACTACACATCCTACACTACACTCAACATCTTACACTACACATCCTACACTACACTACACATCCTACACTACACTCAACATCTTACACTACACATCCTACACTCCACATCCTACACTTCACATAATACGCTACACATCCTAAATTACACATCCTACACTACACATCCTACACTACACTTCACATACTACACTACACATCCTACACTACACATCCTACACTGAACGTCACATCCTACACTACACATCCTACACTACACATCCTACACTTCACATAATACACTACACATCCTACACTACACATCCTACACTACACATACTGCACTCCACATCCTACACTTCACATACTACACTACACATCCTACACTACACATCCTACACTACACGTCACATCCTACACTACACATCCTACACTACACATACTGCACTCCACATCCTACACTTCACATACTACACTACGCATCCTACACTACACTTCACATCCTACACTACACATCCTACACTACACTTCACATCCTACACTACACTCAACATCTTACACTACACATCCTACTCTTGACATCCTACACTACACATCCTACTCATACTACACTTCACATCCTATACTACACATCCTACACTACACTACACATCCTACACTACACTCAACATCTTACACTACACATCCTACACTACACTACACATCCTACACTACACTCAACATCTTACACTACACATCCTACACTACACTACACATCCTACACTACACTCAACATCTTACACTACACATCCTACACTACACTACACATCCTACACTACACTCAACATCTTACACTACACATCCTACACGTCACATCCTACACTACACATCCTCCACTCCACATCCTACACTTCACATCCTACACTTCACATACTACACTACACATCCTACACTTCACATCCTACACTTCACATACTACACTACACATCCTACACTTCACATCCTACACTTCACATACTACACCACACATCCTACACTTCACATACTACATTACACATCCTACACTCCACATCCTACACTACACATAATACACTTCACATAATACACTAAACATCGTACTCTTGACATCCTATACGCCACATCCTACACTACACTACACATCCTACACTTCACATACTACCTACACATCCTACACTACACATCCTACACTACACATCCTACACTTCACATCCTACCTACACATCCTACACTACACATCCTACACTTCACATCCTACACTACACTCAACATCCTATACTCCACATCCTACACTACACAACCTAAACTACACCTCCCTACACTACACATCCTACACTTCACATCCTACACTACGCTACACATCCCATACTCCACATCCTACACTTCACATACTACACTACACTCCACATCCTATACTCCACATCCTACACTACACTCCACATCCTATACTCCACATCCTACGCTTCACACCCTACATTTGACATTCTGCACTACACACACTGCACTTGACATCTTACTCTTCACATCTTACACTTCACATCTTACTCTTCACATATTACACTTCACATCTTACTCTTCACATCGTACACTTCATATCCTCATCCTCTCTTAAATGCACACTACTTCTTGATTGAACTAGAAGTCTCTCGATCAGTTTTTAATTTCGCTTAGGTATTAAACATACATGTAACAGTAATACATTAAAATACGTCATCCAGGACCATATGAGTGAGTGTTGTTTTACGTCGCTTTTACCACAACCACGGCGTGGAACACCGGAAGATGTGAGCTTCACACATTCCCAGTGTGGCCATGGGGAACGATAGATAGATCTAACATCCAGTGGAGTGGCACAGTTTGGATGTGTGACAGTTGAACATAGTTTCAGACAAATGCAGCCAGACCCATACCGACTTCTTAAATTGTCAGGATAGCTTTTGTTTCAAAGATTTCATCATAAGTTGATCTTGTAAACAGACAAATACAAAATATACCATTGTCAACCGGGATCGGTAATCAGAATTCGGAAATAGAAATGTCAGTAAACAGGTAAACAAAGCACGAACCTATGGAGAAGAACGCTGGTTTGACGAGATTGTTGGAGAGTTCAAGGTTGCACCCGGCATCAACGGACCCGGCTGCAAGGTCCACATAGTTGTTGAAGTATTTGTGCTGTGTTATCATAAGTTCTATAGCTCCCTGATCGCTGATGACGTAGCCTTCAAACCCCCATTGTTTCCTGAGGACATCGGTAAGCAGGTGCTTGTTGGCACAGGCGGGGACTCCGTTCAGTCTGAACACACATGTAAAATATCAGATAAACATGAGACTCCGTTCAGTCTTAATACACATGTGAAAAATCAGACATACATAAGACTCAGTTCCGTGGGAGTCCACATGTAAATCATCAGATATACACTGTGGGAGTTTGTGGGAAGTCATGTTAGCAGCTTAAGTGACGTTGCTGTACCGGAAGCCGTTTCCTTTTGCCAAACGACGATCCGTGTGTATCAGTGGAGAAAGCCGGATGGCGGAACTGTAAGGATCCAGGGAGCCATCAGGTATGGGTAGAGAACGGATATGTGTTCATATCCAGGTCATTTTCACAGGTGTGCGTTCTCTTGACATTTAATGTCCCCACGTAGCATGCCCCAGACATCATAATTCGGCATGACCATGCTCGTCATTAGTTACCAATATGTATTGATGTCAGAACATGAACGTATTGCGGTGACCGTCAAGGTTACCGTATCTAAACTAATTGAGGGCTGTCAACCAGGGCCACCGAATCTGCAGGATTTACATCTGAATAATGCATGGTGGGCGAGCTGGCTAAGGCGCCAGGCTAGTGATCCAGCGAGCTTGAGGTGACGGGATCGAGCCCACCCGTGACAGGGTGTAAAAACCTTGGAGTCAGCTTTGTGTGCAGATATTTCAGTGTTGTCACAAGCCCTAGTGTACAGTACACAACCCTGTGCACTTAAAACAACCCACGAATCCGTTGGTATATGACAAGATTGTGGCCACATGAATACGTGCAAACGCCTAGTTGCGCGTACAGCAACGTGCAGTAAATTTGGACAAAGTACTGTGACTATGTGTTCCAGTCCACCCAGCTGTGAATGGGTACCTCGTAAGGATGAGAAAGCCGCAATAACTCGGTGCGCCTAGTGGCTGCAAGAGTTGTATGGTCCCCGGGAAGTTGAGATTAATAATACGTTGTGCCGTTGAGTACTAGATGCGTGGATATGTGCGCTATATAAATATCCTATAATAATAATGCGAAGACTTAAGACCATTATGAACTTTGTTACTTTACCAACCTTCATATGTGCCTTACACAAACAAGATCATGAATGTCTTGAATGTATCCTGAAACACAAATGACAGGTCCTTTGACGCAAGTAACCGGCATAGATTACGATACGTTTGAATACATATTAAGTGCGTTGTTCATTGTCGAAATCTCCTATTCTGCTTGTGTGTTATAATGCAGGCTGCTGTGTACGATCCTCACCGGTTGTAGCTGCACATCAGGTTCATTGTCCCAGCCTTGACACACGTCCGGAAAGCCGGCAGGAAGGTTGATCGCCAGTCTCGCTCAGGAACCTAGGGGAAGGCCATTCATTGAACAATAGTTACGGATACTTTCGACATGAGAGTTGGGATAAATTTCAAATGGCATTTCGTATTTGAACATAACGCATCGATCACCTTTATGGTCTCGTGTAGAGAACAACTTCCGGGAAGAAGAAGGAGGTAACACGCGTTCATCTCACCTCAAAATATAATTTGTTGGACAACAAATGACACAGGAACTACAAGATGCGGTAGTCTGCTACTGTCAACAATATGAGGTTACCTTGGCGTCGAAGGAAAATCTGTTGACGGGGATGTTCTCGGGGCCGCCGTGGGCGTCAAAGTGTTTGCAGCCGGCGTTAGCCCTGAGGTAGCGGGAGTCATTACCCTGAAGTCCTTTCACGTAATTGGCCGCGTACTGACCACTGAGGTAGGGATCCTCTCCATATGTTTCCTGGAGCGATAAGGTATCACTGCAACGTCAGTACACGCCACATCCGGATACTTTGGAAGATTCATCGACTTCTGTATTGTTATAATGCATGGCGGCACAGAGGCTATCAAGCAAGAAACCAGTCCAGTTTCACAAAGCGACCGTAGGGTCACGGCTACCGGAAGTCTTTGTTGATGCTACGATCCCATCGTGAGTGACGCAAGTATCAACCGGAAGTAGCAGTTCAAATTCAATATGGTCCAGCAAAAGTCTGCAGTTTGTCTAAACTAGGCCTCATAATTGCTCGATATATTGTCGCAATAAGCCATGGTATTACAATTTGATAAGTACTCGAATAAAGTCACTGTACGAAACGGACGTAAAATATCTCTCGGTGGCGTTTGGCCTTTCCGCACATTTCTTGTGCGATGGCTGGTCTTACTCTATATCCCTTGGAATGTCTGTAGAATATACCTAGGGCAGAGTTACTAATTACATAATAACATGATGTTCTGAAGAAGGCCTCTACTGTGTGATCATTAGAGGGCTTGTAAAAACAATTGGGTGAGTTTCAGAGGGGAATAATAACCTCTGGACCTCAACCACAGCGGAGCCCCCAAAACGTACAGTTTATCGGGACGTCCTCTAGAGGTTCCACCCACCTGGTTCCTGCCCCACCTGGGGTCCCGCATGATGTTGATGACGGGGCTGAAGCAGCTGAGTCCCTTGTGGTCGCCGTAGACGTGGTTCTTGGCGTAGTCGTTGTATTTACCGCGGACCTCCACCCCCGTAGCCTCGGCCATTCGGAACAGAATGTCAGTGCTGGGTCAAGGTCATGAGTGAGTTAACACAATTATGACACATTTACTTACATCCTGAATGCCAGTTTAAGTTTGTAGGCATGTGATTGGTAGCGGTTCGAATCCTCACAGTGATTCCATGCATGCAGTCAATCTGGCGTAAAGCCCAACTCACTTAACTCACTTAACAAGAGAATGTCACAAAGCGACAAGCATCTGGAATAATTACCACTTCTTTTACTGTGCGTTTTACGCCGCCATAAACAATATTTCAGTTATACCAAGCGTCTGCTTGATGTGGGAGGAAATCCCGAAGACCTGCAAATCCATTTCTTTGGTGCATGTATGTGTCATCAAAGGGAGGAAAGAACTGTTGGGAAATGTCAATAAAGATATGATCATGAATGGATGGACACCATTGCCAAAGACGTGCGCACACAAACATTCACAACACCTTACCTCCATGAAGCCGCTAGACCTATAGACTGGGGGAAGGATGTTGCCGACCCGCTCCTCGCGTCCCCCCTCAGACACTCCGTGTTCCAGGAATAAGGATTTATCCCCAGCTTGGGTATACCTGGGGCAGGGCCTGCCTGAGGCCCCCACCCTCCTCGCCCCATTTGAGTCTGTATTTCATCGACGGTCAGACGCCCGACGAGGTCCTCCACCCGCTCCTGCCACGTGAGCGATGTGTTCCGGAAGGGGAAGTCAGCCCCGACCAGCCCCGTCAACAGGGGCAACAGCAGAACAAGGGACATTATGATGGGTACACGTCCCCACAGACCAAACAGCAGTGTCGTGAGTGACCTCCAAAGAGGTGGTTATATACTTCACTGATAAGCAGCGTCGCATCTTATCTCTCTCCCTCAGTACAGCAATGTTCCGACTCTTTGTCAACGAGAACGAAGACGTTTTGACTGACTGACTGAGTTTGGTTTTACGCCGCTTTTAGCAATATTCCAGCAACATCACGGCGGGGGACACCAGAAGTGGGGAAGACGTTTTGAGTGTGGTCTGGGTTAAATGAAGACACAAAGATGTTGATGTAGTGTTGGCCTGGTGTCAAAAGATCGGGTCGGGCACTTCCATAACCCTGCTGAGCAACATAACCCTGACGAACAAAAGATCGGGTCGGGTACTCTTCAATACCATAGCTATCGGCCTGGTGTCTGAGCAACATAAACCCTGACGAACAAAAGATCGGGTCGGGTACTCTTCAATACCATAGCTACATGGTGGCGGCCTGTAAATATCGAGTCTGAACCAGACAAAACAGTGCTTGATGTTATCAGCAACAACCCACGAATTCGGGGTACGATGCAACACAGTGAACCATATCACCATGACCTATCGATCTGTTGAGTCGCTTTATACAATCAGCGTCCTCTGTGATGGCTTGTCGTGAAACTGCACGATTTCTGAAAGATCTGCTATAATTACGATAAGTTCGTGATATTTTCATGACACTAGACATGGTGACGACCTGCTACAATCCTGGGAGGGATAAAACCTACTGTCACGACCTGGTACAATCCTGGGAGGGATAAAACCTACTGTCACGACCTGATACAATCCTGGGAGGGATAAAACCTACTGTCACGACCTGATACAATCCTGGGAGGGATAAAACCTACTGTCACGACCTGCTACAATCCTGGTAGGGATAAAACCTACTGTCACGACCTGGTACAATCCTACAATCCTGGTAGGGATAAAACCTACTGTCACGACCTGGTACAATCCTGGGAGGGATACAACCTACTGTCACTGACCTGGTAGGGATACAACCTACTGAGGGATATAAACCTACTGTCACGACCTGGTACAATCCTGCTACAATCCTGGGAGGGATAAAACCTACTGTCACGACCTGCTACAATCCTGGGAGGGATACAACCTACTGTCACGACCTGGTACAATCCTGGGAGGGATACAACCTACTGTCACGACCTGGTACAATCCTGGGAGGGATAAAACCTACTGTCACGACCTGGTACAATCCTGGGAGGGATACAACCTACTGTCACGACCTGGTACAATCCTGGGAGGGATAAACCTACTGTCACGACCTGGCTACAATCCTGGGAGGGATCACGACCTGCTAAACCTACAACTGTCACGACCTGCTACAATCCTGGATACAACCTACTGGGATAAACCTACTGTCACGACCTGGTACAATCCTGGGAGGGATAAAACCTACTGTCACGACCTGGTACAATACTGGGAGGGATACAACCCTACTGTCACGACCTGGTACAATCCTGAGGGATACCTAAACCTACTGTCACGACCTGGTACAATCCTGGGAGGGATAAAACCTACTGTCACGACCTGGTACAATCCTGGGAGGGATAAAACCTACTGTCACGACCTGGTACAATCCTGGGAGGGATAAAACCTACTGTCACGACCTGGTACAATCCTGGGAGGGATACAACCTACTGTCACGACCTGGTACAATCCTGGAGGGATAAAACCTACTGTGGTATTCAGAACTGAGAATGTCATGTTCCGTCGAACTGTGCTCTGGGTCAGTCAGTGTGATCTTGATATTGGTAAATGTATTATGATGAATCTATCCCTCTGTGCTATAGGTATACCACGGCCACGCCATGTATTCTCCCTGTCGATGTGTTTATAATTCCCTTACTAACTGATAAACTGAGATCCACAGCAGCCTGCAGCAGATACAGCTCTAACCTAACCGATGTTTGCCATGTGGTCGCTATAGTTAGGTGCTGTCACGCCATGACCTCTTCCACAGAGCAACAGTATGTCACCTTTCCCTCTCTGTTAAGTGAATGTTCATGCACTTCTAACGTACAAGTGGTACACAGCATGGTTGTCCTTCAACCTTCATCACGATTTCATACCACGAATTGCATTCCAAGATTACTCAGCAAGGTTGTAAAGTAGAAAATAGTAATCAGTACCGCCTGGATTCTAAACCTGATAGTTATCTGCAATGTCTCCTGACCTTCGGCCAACTCGTCATATGTGACATTCCCAAGTAACTCTCAAGGCCCGAAGGCGCACAAAATTAGATTTATGCTTGTAGACTATGGCTCCCCACATTATGGCAGTCCAACCACCATATCGGTCAACCTGGGCGCCACGAATCTGGGCAAAACGTTCATTTCGACGTCGATAGACTTACCCTTCTGCCACGGCAGTAAAGCAGAGTGATTCGTCACTGAACCATACACATCGCCAGTTTTGTAAATTTCAGAATCGAATATTATTGCACCACTTGACCCGTCGACGCCGATGCAGTCGTCCCAAAATAGGGTCAAAATAGGGTCATCTGGCTCGAAGTCCAGCTTCTCGCAAACTATTACGAATGGTTTCCGCTGACACTGTACTCAAACCAGGCACTGTACTTGCAGTTGCAGTTCCATTCCGCAAATGAAGTACCCGGATGTACCTATCCTGCGCTGCAGTGATGATCCGAGTCTACCACTTCGGGGCCGATCTTGCGTAGAATTGTTGAAATCGGTCCAATAAACGACTGATGGTACTCTGGTGAACATTGTGGCGAAGGGCAACGGCAGATTACGACTCCCCAGCCTTCAAACGTCAAATGACAATGTTTCGATTTAAAGCAGGGAGCAGGAGCATATCGATATTCTTTGATTTAGCTAAAAATGCCAATGGCCGTCTTAAAGCAAAACGGACTTATATAGGCAATGTCCCTGCCCACGATTCCCAAGAACAGCACGTGCATTTTGCGGAGCACATCTTCTCCATGACATTTTCGTGCAAGTTGTCACTTTTGAACTTAAACGTGCGAAAGTTTCCGAAGATACATTATTACACAGTGCATTTGTTCAAAACCAGCATTATAATGGCGAAATTATAACAATTAACACTAACTATTTGAAACTTCATACATGAATATCACCTATGCGTTTCTTTAATGGGAGAGTACACAACGCGTATGTGGCTGTAATACCATCCGTCGTTTTTGAGGGCACGCTTTAGGTTCACCTGTCCACCTGGCGATCTAACGTTCACTGTTATACATGCCTGACAGGTGTTTGTCTGACATTAAGGTCAGGGTCACATTAACCTTGCGATCAAGACATGGTCGATATGTTTGGTCAGTTTGCTGTGCATAAGGATAAACAAACACGCGAATTTGGCAAATGTGAAAGAAAGAAACACAAAGAAGAACACAAACTATACAGTATGAGGGAGATTTATTCAATTCCATAACGTCGCCTTTGAACAATGTTCAGTGACACACGATACAATTTTCAATGAAGGCGATACTTATCTCAGTATGAACAGGACGGGCGATCTGCCGCTACACCGCATACCCTTTGAGGCGCCTGTAAAATATCATTCAGCACTGGGGGCCGCCATCCCTCTATTCTCGACCTCATGATCGGATCATCTGTGTGCATAAATGTGTACGAAGTGATCATCCGCTGAATGACAGCGACTGTTTTCGGCAACTGGAACTACAACGTCAACTCTATAGAGATTAATCTACACCCTGTAGACACTGTCATTTTAACACCAGTGATGCATTGACACTCTACCCTTGAAAACGAGTGAGTGAGTGAGTTTTACGTCGCTTTTATTCCAGCAATATCACGGCTGGGGACTCCAGATATAGGCTTCACACAACGTACCCATGTGGGGAATAGAACCCATGTCTTCGGCGTGACGAGCGAACGCTTTAACCACTAGATTACATAACTGACATATTCTACTAGAGTCTCACTGAGAGGTTTGTCAGCTGCTTTCATATGATCTGTCGTATCAACACAGCCTTGTTAAAGACAGTATGAACAATGTTGGTTTCAGTTACATCCCTGTCTCACATCTTACGCCATGTTTATGGCTACTATGAGATAACCTCCCTTCCATGTTTTCTCTCTCTCGTTTGCAGTGATGGCTTTTCATTACACCATTGCCAATGGCTAATTACCATATAATGTGGCCGGACTTTTTCTCTTGGGAAACAAACGCTCTTATTCTGCAGTCAGAACTTTCGCTGTGCTTTACATACAGGTTCGCATGATTATATAAAGATGCTACAGCAACTGCGACAGTGAATGAGTTTACTTTTACGCCGCTTTTAGCAATATTCCAGCAATACCACGGCGGGGGACACCAGATATACTTACTAATATAAGATTTCCTTCCTGGCCGTGATTTGTTCATCAAGTTTTTCAAAAATGTTTCATATTGGAAGTTCGCTCTGTTTTGGCCGCCATTGTTTTATGGAAGGTCGGTGCAGGTAGGGGAGGTAACCCATCTTGTGTATTGCTGATTACTGTTTACGTATCTGATCTGATCACACCATCTGTGCGGGATGTGGGCACAGCATCAGGAACAACAACAACACACACACACACAGCATCTTACACTACATCAACCTTATCGCTGAGGGGTACCAGTATCAACACTGTGGGATGTCGGCCTATTGTTGTCTTATATAAGCATGTTGATGTAGTTGTATGCCATTATGGAGACGTGGATACCGAGTGCAAACACCGTGTGTCGGCGCAGTGCTGGTGGAGGAGGTGTACACCGACACCGACGACGTTGTAGCCGCTCCTGCTGGTGGAGGAGGTGTACACCGACACCGACGACGTTGTAGCCGCTCCTGCTGAAACTGTACCACGTGCCTCCTCAACCGTTTGTGTCCACCACATGGTACCTAAATAACCCATAAACACTGCGTAAAGTACACGTGTTTCTCAAAGGGAGCATATGTTTTGGAGCTGTTATTCTACAAGTCTGTGCATTATTTTCGAAGCATAAAAACAAGTGTTTTCTGTTACATAACCTCGGTGATGCAGTC